AGGAAAATTAAAGCGAGTGATCACTTAGCATAGGTCTCTAGTATTCTAGAAGTTAATATTTGGTCGAGTCAAAGTGTGTTCAACTTTAGGCCGTTCTGAAAGCTGGTCTCGTCCCCAAACTCGTTACAAGGTGCATTCGATCGTTTCGTTCTGACTTTGCAAGAGAGGAAAACGGTAATTTTGTTAATTTGGTATGCTTCATAAGTGGTAGCCCTTTTTGCTTGCTCCAAGAATCGAAGACTTTTCTACGACCAAAAAAATTAGGTTGTATAATCACATCGCATAATGTCTGTGACCAGTCACTTATCTAAGAATGTCCAAACTACATCTCTTTAAGTTCTTGGCGTGTCCGCTCGTGCTATAGGCAGTAATGATTCATTCAGCTGTACTGTTCACCATGCTATTCCAAACCTTTATAAAAGCAGACAGTGCCACTAGAACCCAGTTGAATTCAGAATCGAGGGACAGTTTCCTCTTAGAGCCTGCAATCGCGGTGTGGTTATGAATGTCCATAGCGTACAGCTGACTACAGTGAGCTGCCTGCGTGCAATGTGTTCGTCCCGTATGGGCTTCCCCGAGTATGGGTACATCGACTCGTTCAGGCGAGGTTGCATGCGGTAAATCTTGCGGCAGAATGCAGTTGAGGTTTGGGGGTTCCTGCTTCCTGCTAGGGCACCTTTGGTGATTTTTTTTCTTCCACTGCGATTTCAAGATGAATGACGGTATCGCTAAATGTCAGTGGAACGAGTGATTTGTTTGAGTACGTGTTATCTTCTTGTTATCTTCTCTTTCTAATGGTTGTCGTGGATAAATCGCATGCACCCACTGAAATCTGCGGCGTCTGCCAAAAATCGCGGGCTGACGCGCCGCGGGCGACAGCTGCGGCGCGACGAAGCGCATCTCTTCGTGGAACTTATTGTTTTGCTTGTATAACATCGTCTGAGTTTTGTAGGAAATTCGAAGACAATCCAAGATCCTCTTCTTGACTCCATTTTCGCTTTGTGAAGGTGCGTAGAAAAAAGTATTTGGGAGGGCCTCGTGTAGTTCAGTACAAATCCTAGTTCTACGTCCTGTTTAAGGATTGCTTCCTATAGGGTATGTGTACGAACGTGCGTCCGAGGATGCGCGCGGCAAATTGCGCGGCGAAGTTCGTAATGGTTTGAACGACTTTAGCGCCTATCATTGGGGCCCAAATTTGAAATAGAATGGATTAGAAGGATCATCTGACCCTACTAAACTACACTACTTCGAGTTTGTGCCCCGAAAATTGGAGCCGCTGTCGTACAAATCCTCACGAATTCCGCCGCGCAATTTGCCGCGCTCACCCTCGGACGCGCGTTCGTACCGTCCCCCCTTCCTATATGACCGGTAATTCACTTATCATGCTAAACGGCGTGGGTCATTTTTACTCACAAGAAAAGTACCTGATTCAAGACGGGACTTGTACTGGAGGTAATAATCCGTTTCACCTTGGTCGTTCACCAAGCTAACAATTTCTTTTCTCACGCAAACTCTGTGTACGTCTCCAATAGAACAATCTCAGGGCTGTATGTTTTCGGTTATTTCAAGTCGAATCCAGTCTGATGGGAGTTGCTAACTGGGTGATGGGAGTCAGAATAAAGGCAGTAGGCGTGATGGAGCTAGTAGTAGTTCATTGCCTTTGGTCACGCTCTGCATATCCTCTGTCTTTATATCAGCTCGTAACCCCCTGTCTCAAGCCAGGTCCAATAGTGGTTGGAGAACGCCCAGAAGGTGGCTCCTTTTCCCACTATATGATCCACTTCTACTGTTAAAGCTCCTGAAGCAGGCAAAAATGATGAATCCTGTAAATCTTTTAGGATTTATTCGTCTATATTTTCTGCAACTTCTTTTTTTTTTCAAGAAGGCCGTGACACATCGTCCACCACGGTGTCGATGAGTTCTATTGTGAGTGTTATGGAGATTTTGGTGGAAGAGGTAAGTTCAGTTTTCTGTCTTTCATACGTTTTGTGTATTAATTGCGTCCGTGTCTAGGGCGACACCGACGAAGAACTCGAAAAAATGATTGGAAGGTGTAGACACTCGGCTATGGTCGGAGAAGAACGTGACGATGAGACTGGAGAAAATGCTTCCGAAAAGGATGGAGAGCAAGGAGAAAAAGAGATGGCAGAAAATGTTGCCTGTAAGGGAGAAAATGTTCCCGCTAAGGATGGAGACGGAGACAGAGAAGAGACCGCATCTGAAGCATCCGAGGAATAAAGAAAAGAAAGCGAAAAATTTACCGCGTGGGATGATTTCGCTATGGATTTGGAGGAAGATGGGGAAGGGGACGGAGACGAGGTTCTCGCCAAGGGTGAAGAAGTAGGCAAAAAAGACGTAGAAAATGTTGCCGATAAGAGTGGAGATGCCAGAGACGCCAAGGATGGAGAATAATTCGAAAATGTGGCTCGGAAAACGTTTCCGCTATAGATGGAGACGAAAACGTAGAGCAGGATGAAGATGAGGTTTTCGCCAAAGGTGGAGAAGAAGAACGTGGGAAAGCCACCACAGAGAATGCTTTTGCCAAGGATGGTGGAGAAGGCAAAAAAGGTAATGGAGATGAAATACTTGCTAAGGATGGAGAGGAAGTCAAAGAGGAGGCTGGAGATAAAGTTCCTACCGAGGATGGAAATGATGACGAAAAAGCGATTGTAGAGAATGTCGCTAAGGATGGAGGAGACGGAGAGGGGAATGGAGATGAAGTTCTTGCTAAGGTTGGAGGAGATGGTGAAAAAATGACCGCAGAAAATGTCGTTAAGGATGGTGAAGAAGGCGAAGAAGAGATCACCGAATATGCTCCCATCAAGGGTGGAAAGGAAGGCGAAAAAGGGATGGGTGATTGTATTTTTGTTAAGGATGAAAAAGAAGCTGAGGGAATGAACGGAAAGCATATTTTCGAAGAGGATGAAGAAGACGAAGAAAATATGATGGGAGATTATGTTCTCGGTAAGGATATGCTTAGAGAATGTTGAAAAGCTACTAAAGATGTTTCCTTTAAGAACAATTGCGAGATGAATCCGAATGCTAAGGAGAACGACGGGATATATAATGAGTGAGCTGCTGTACCTGGAGATTGCTATGGCCGTGTTGTTGCTGTTATGGGTAGCCTTCTGTTTTGCTGTATTGAGTAAATACTGTATTATGTTGTTCTGTTCTGTATGTTATGTTCTGTGTTATGTTTTTTGATAAACTTGTGGAAGAGTGTCGGTTTTAATAGACAGCACTTTCGTTTTGAAGCACCTATGTTCCGCAATTGACAGATACGGTCGTACTCCTGCGTGTACCCTTGGTTATATGGGTGAGATGAAGTGTCTAACTATGAAGAGTGTGGTAAGTTTTCCCTGAATGTCGCGTCTCGCCACATCCGTTCGCGAGCTTTGAACGGGAGGGTTCGAATTCCTGGTAGAGGATACGATACGATAACTGAATCACTGTCGCTTACCGTGGGAATTCAGGGAATACCCCCACCCCACTGACCTGAACAAATGAAGCTAGACTTGTCTGGGTTCTCGAAAATTCAGAGAGGTTAAGCACTTGGGAACGTTCTCCCTTTCGTTGCCATTTGAAGAGTTCATTTTGCAAGAAATACATCTTTTTGGAGGTACGTGATTATTTATTGGTAAACCACCGCAAATCATTGTCTGGACCACATGTGCCACTACTATCCTGAACGAAGTTGAATGTGAGAGCGCACACTTCAGACGGAATTAATTTACTTTCATCACACTATTTTCCACCTTATCCTCCATTTATCCTACGGATGTCCTTTCACTGAGGGTGCTCTCTCATTGAAGGATCCCCAGCCGGTTAGTGACGAGGCTACGTAGGGCGTCCCC